ACCCTCCATGTGGGTGAAAACCCCCTTTTCTTTCTTTTCTATTTTTGAAAAATGAAAGGTATCAATGTTGCTCTCATGTCATGTGTAAACAAATTCATTTCTGTCTTTCTTCACAGTCATTTCACCATATTCATCTAACACAGTGCATAGACTGACAAAAATTTCCTTTTTCATAAAGTTATCAGATTATTAGAACTTCTTCCCTTTTCATCATCATCATCATCATCAATATTATTACTATTTGCAAGAGAGTATCTCAGCCGACAAGATGTAATCCTTACAGCACTTAAAAAGCGGTGTTCCACACAAAAACATTAACTTTCATGCAAGAATTCTTGCACTGTTGTGCCATGGGAAGGTGTTTCAAAAATCTCACATGAGGACAATGAAAATTGGGAGGAAGCAACCCCACCAATAATTCAAGTGGGCAGGGCAGGAGACCTTGATTTAAGGGTCACAATGAAAGAAAAAAATCCGAAAAAAGAAGTTATAAAATTATAAAAAAAAAATAAGAAAAAAATGGGGGGGAGGGGTAAATTGTCTCTGCAGATCTTGGTGAAGCAGGGACTTCCACATGAATGGAGGAGATAGAGAAGAGGGGGGGAAAGATGAGGCTGAGATTAGTTGCTGGGCCACTTCTTACTATTATTCAATTTCAGCCCTAAGGCCCACCATGCTTCCCTCCTTCTGAAATTTGGCCCAGAAATTCAATCCAATCATTCAATTTAGCCCCTCGGATCTTGTTCTTTCAATTTTTTTGTTTTTGTTTGTTAGGTCAGCTCGGATTTTCTTACATGCCCTAGCACTGTCCCCTCAGATTGGGTGAGGGCCCACTACTCCTCGTGATCTGTTCCCTTGATAATTTCTCAAAATTCATGCCCCGGATTGGTTGAACTATCATATGAGAGTGCAGCTTGTTAAGTTCGAGTTTTTAAGCAGATGTATCGTATTTAACGATGAGTATAACTCTGTCACATCATTTGATATATTGATTTATCAAATCAATTTCAGTATCTAGATTGAGTGCACCTTTGATGCTCTAGGTTATAAGGAAACATTTGCATGGAGAAACATCTGTCATGATAAACATTTAAATGAAATGACAAGCTCTCTATAATCATCTTAAAAGAATTAAAGCACTTCCTGTTTGTATAAAGATTAATCAATGGCAAATAAATAAAATCTCATGTTAGGTACTCTACGTGTATCCTGGAATCTTCGGATCATATCTCATCTTGTAAGGGTGCACTTAGTTGGGTTCTTGACGAAAGCTTTTGGAGAAATGTAAAGGATTTTAGGCCAGAGAACTTTTTCGAAATACAAATAGTGTTTGGTAAATTGCAATGAAAAACAACTTTAATTTAAATGCTGATTGGAACAAATTACACTTAAAAAGGACTTTTGTTAATAATATTTTAAAAAAGAAGAAGATTAAAACCTTCACTAGCATCGATGGCCCTCGCCCAAGGCCATGTTGCCGGCGCCAGGTTTGGGCCGCCAGTAATGTCAAGCGAGGTGAGGGTATTTTTCGGAATTTTGAAAGTTTTTTTTTTGTCAAAGACTTTTGAAAGTTTAGCGAGAGCAAAATTGAAAGAAATTTTTTTATTAGAATCCGAAAATGCTCAAAGCCCAAAGCTCCTACGGCTCTGCCTTGAGCTAAAGGATTTTAGAGGACTTAGGAAATGCAATTACATCTTCGAAAAACTCTTCAAAAAATTTGTCAAATGACACTTGCATTCCCAAATGCCTTTTAAGCCTCCAAAGGGCTCATGGACCTTAATGGAGCAGCACTCGACTGAACAGTTTTTTCTCATTTTCTTGATGAAAGCGAAATAAATCTGATCTTATATCTTTGTTGTCTGCATATATCTCCAAAAACAAAAAAAGAAATTCTGAATATATATATATTTATAGCGTGCGTGTAGGAAGGCCGACCACTACATAAGCTAAAAGACTACGACTACAAGCCAAGCCGGAAGCGACTCGCTTCTATACACACACTATAATTATGTATTGTATTGTACCTCCTCTCATGTTTAAAAAAACCTAAGCTGAGATCCTCCATTCCTACCGACCTTAAGAAACAATAATTTTGCGTCTTCTTTGGTCTATATCTGATATGTGGTCTGTTCCACTATAATGTCAGTAACTTCATTACCATTCCATTTTTTAATGAACAAATTAATATTATTATTTCTGAAGAACATTTAGGGCACAGGCACCATTGTTTCCTTTGCTGTGCACATGTGCACCTATCAAATCCCTCTCACATCTGAGATCCTCTGATTTTCTTTTTTCTGTGCAAATTCCTTGATGTAGTGAAATGTAAGTGCATATTCAGACCAGAAGTTAATGGATGTTGAACACCCTATAAGCAAAGACGCAACAGTGTCACATGCTCACAGATCAATTTCCATGTGCATTAGCTCCATGCATCTGATGCTTGGGGCCCTTACCTAACAAGCAAGAGACCACATTATGATACATTCCCACTTTATCCGCTGCGGATTCAATTCCTGACCGATTAAACATTTTTTGGACATGTACTTTAGTAAATTGTACGACAAATAAATGATTCATGCGATTCTAGCACTCTCACTTTCGATCATCTTGCTCGTTGCTTTTGCTACTGTGCACTTATTCCTTAGTTGTCCGTACGATGCTCGTTACATGATATCACGTGTTTCATATACAAGGCTTTTATGTAAATGCATCGGGAAGTGTTTTTACCCTCTTATAATAATACGGAGCATTTGAATTTTTTTGGCTTGACTTATCCTCACGCACTCTGTTAGTAATATATGGGATGGAAATTATGTGAGTCGGAGTACAGAGGATACATAGATATCGGCATTTTCCTTGAAAAAATATGCCAAAAAGTTGGGCATTACTATAAGGGCCCGGCCCATTTGGCAACGTGTCAAATGGTGAAAATTTCTGTTCTTTTGTTCTCAGAATCAGTTTAGAAACAGAAATCCGTTCGTTAAAATTTTTGTGCCCGGGCACAATTTTGCAAAAAATTGGTTCCAGAATCAGTTTTGGAACAGAATCAATAAGCAAAAAAAAGTAGCTTCTTGATTCTGAAACAATTTTTCCGGAACTGATTCTTCTTGATTTTCTTCTTTCTTTTTTTATTTATTCTTCATCTTCTTCTCGGCCCACTGCCGGCCACCGGCGATTGTCCACCGGCGACCGGCCAAGGCCGGCGAGGGTGGCCCTCGCCGCCCCCGGCGACGGCGAGGTCGGCCTCGCCAGATCACGGCGAGGGGTGGCAACGGCGAGGTCGACCTCGCCATGGCAGGGCGAGGCTCAACCTCGCCATGGCAGGGCGAGGCTCAACCTCGCCGTGATCTGGCGAGGCCGACCTCGCCATCGCCACCCCCCGCGACGGCGAGGTCGACGTCGCCAAATTTGGGCGAGGCTTTGGCGAGGTCGACCTCGCCATCGCAGGGGATGGCGACGGCGAGGTCGACCTTGCCTTGGCCGAGCGAGGCTCAACCTCGCCATGATCTGGCGAGGCCGACCTCGCCGTCGCCGGGGTGGCGACGGCGAGGTCGGCCTCGCCCAATCGACCTCGCCGTCACGACTGGCGAGGCCGACGGCAAGGGCCACGACGCCCTCGCCGGCCATGGCCAAGAAAAAAAAAGAGAAAGAAATATTAAAAAATTCAAAATATTATTAAAATATTATTAATAAAAAGAAATTTTGTGTAGTTACCAAACGCATTTCTGTTCTTTTTCTATTCTAAGAATAGAAATTTTGGGCAGTTACCAAATACTTAGAAATTGTTCCCGGGCACAGAATAAAAAAGAATCATTTCTGACCAGAATCAGTTCCCGAGCACAGAATGGTTGCCATGCGCACCCTAATTGAACTGCAAAATGATGTTATTATGATATTGGATCAATTGTATTATAAGCAGGAAGACTTATATATTAGAATATGGCTATATAAACTCGATATTTTATGGAATTAGTGTATTTAACATTGGAACTTTCTTACTAATTCCTTTTTATCTAATGAGATATCACAAGAATACATGTTATATTTATTTATGGGAATATGAAACAATAATAAGCATATCTTGGGCACTTGACATGTTGCATCATCGATTGGAAAAAGAAAAGACATAAAATAAGTTTGAAATTAAAGTATTTTCATGTGAGTGTAATACATCATGTATATATACTGGCATAATTTGGTTTACTTTTAGAAAGGAGTACTTTTCCTTAAGTTTAGTAATAAACATCCGAGAGAGAAGTTTTCTTGAAAATAACTAATATTACTTACAAGTACGATTATTTGACCAATGGAGCCTCATACATTTATGCGACGGTCCGTGTATGTTGCATCCATATAAAATACCACTTATAACATGACGGGCATGACCCCCAAAGTTACTATGAGCGGGAGAAACTATGTTCCAAACTCGAGATCTGTCGCATCAAAATCAAACGTTTCATCACTAAGCTAATCACTAAAGATGAAGGGAGAGGAAGAGTGTTCAGAAAATACTTGATATACATCATGTTCCCCACTTCTCAATAGTTTAAGCTTTCGGGAAAAACGATTACCGCATTTGATGTTGGCAACTAAAACTTAAAATCCGAGGGACAAAAATGACCAAATTAATCCCCCAACATCACCCAACAAGGTTGTGCTTGAAGCATGGTGTTCCTGCATGCCTTGCAGCATCTCAGGGGGATGAAGCCATGTGACATTTAAAGACCACCGCAAAAATAGGAACAATGAAATTTGTTCAAGATCGTGTCTGCGACCTCCACCAGATAACATCCAAGAACTTTGGTTTAAAAAAATATAAAATGAAATGCATCACAACTAGAGGGTCAAAATCGTAAATCAGAGCAACCCCATGTGAAAGTGACAATGGCAGATCAAGGTAATTTCCTCAATGTCACTGGGCTCTCTGGCATTGGTACATGCATATAAATAGGTCCCTTGTTCAATCTGCTTCTGCACAAAACTATATTCCTCTATTTCAGGCTGAAAACTCCTCTTCCTCCTCCATCTTCTTCTTCCTTGGAGCTGCAAGAAACTTTTGGCGATGAGAGGATCGGTTCTAGCAGTGGTGGCGGTGCTACTCTGCGCCACCTGCCACCTCGGTTGTGCCTTCATGGATGGTAAGCTTGCTTCCGAAACTCTGACATACTTGATTTAATTGAACAAACTTGTAGACATTCGTATCTGAATATTTTGTTTACCTTTCATTCTCTCAAAACTTCATTACCCATCAACTGATGCTGTCTATACCAGTGTGATGCTGTCGATACCAGTGTGGCTTCTTGTTTCTGTTTTAGTGAGGAGTATCTTTTTCTCAATTCAAGCATGAGTAAGGCAAAATCAAGAGGGTGATCAAATGAACTGTGGTATGAAATTTAGTCAGCTGCCAAATACTAGAAACTAACGTGTACTGACTGGCTTGAAAATTTGATAGCTTTAGTGGTCACTCATCAAGCAATTACTTCTTGAGCAAAAAAAAATCAAGCAATTACTTGAGTAGCCAGTCTTCTATGTACAACTTTATCCCATTTGCAGGAATGAATTAATGAAGATCTGGTTCATTTTGTGCTCATATCTGTAATCCTCAATCAACATACTTGTATTACTCTTTTCTGCTGGAATATGCTTGTATCATTCAACTCAAAAGATTTTCTCTGTCAAAGTGAATGATTTTGGTGAGAACCAAATTCTCTATTTAAGCAAATTTCCATTATTCCATGCATTGAATCCAGAATATGGGGGATCAATGTCTCTGAATCTGTTCTGTGATTAGTACACACACAATGGGGGCCACTGTCCTGCAGACTTTTCAGGCTGGCAGAGGCTTGCACATGGTCCTGAATTTAATAATTTTATGCCCACCCTACTCTTGTAGCCACATGAAGAGCATTTGAAAAGTTATCAGAATTTGACCAGACGAAGCAAATAGGACTACTTCCTTTGTTTTTTAAATTTTTTGCCCCCTGACATTTCCTGATAATATGAATTATGAGTCATGACCACAGAGAACCATTTCAGCTTTTGCTTAAAATGAGGAGGGAAGAAGAAGCAATCATAATACCCATACGGTCATTGGTCGTCACCGACACTAAACTGTGCAGTACTTAAGCTTGGCATATCAAATGGTCCTCGAGCGACAGTGATAAAGCTTATGCTAGGCCACAACTTGTGCCCCATGCGATATGTCCTTTTTGTCCAATCTCTCTCTCCTACTATGGTCTAATGAGTTAAATTTTGGTCATGGTTGTGGACCCGAACAATCGATCATTCGTTAAATTGTCCCGATTCATTTTCGGACGCAGGGCTAGTGCCGAATGGGGACTTCGAGCTCGGGCCCAAGCCCTCAGACATGAAAGGCACAGTGGTGGTCGGTAAGTATGCGCTCCCCAAGTGGGAGATCTCGGGCTTCGTGGAGTACATCAAGTCGGGCCAGAAGCAGGGCGACATGCTGCTGGTCGTCCCTGAGGGCGCGTTCGCTGTGCGGCTCGGGAACGAGGCCTCGATCAAGCAGCGGCTCCAGGTGGTGAAGGGCATGTACTACTCTATCACGTTCAGCGCGGCCCGGACGTGTGCCCAGGAGGAGAGGCTCAACATATCGGTCGCGCCTGACTCGGGAGTGCTTCCGATGCAGACCCTGTACAGCAGCAATGGGTGGGACTCATACGCCTGGGCATTCCAGGCCGAGCTTGATGTGGCTGAGATTGTGATCCACAATCCAGGAGTTGAGGAGGACCCTGCTTGTGGACCCTTGATTGATGCAATTGCAATCAGGGCTCTCTATCCTCCTAGAGCAACTAATAGTGAGTTCTCTCATCTTTGATTTCAAAATTTAATTGCTCTGGAATACAATTCTACTTACCAAAAGCTTAGGCGTTTCATGTGGTCCGATCGATCCCGAGGACCGCTTTCTACGTTAGTCTGCATTTGTTCAGTAGGCGCTCTATTGGTAGTAGCGTGACATCCTCCGAAATCAAACTCATAAAATCTGTTCCATTGATACTCATTTCTACATTCCTCAATGATATTTTGGTCAAAGAAGAGGTCATTTTGAAAGGCCCTGTTTCATACGCCAGAAAAAAGCTCTATTCCATGCCAGAGACCCTTCTGAGAAATGGTACTACTTGTCAAAAACCACAATCAATGTGGAGACTTGATTGACATAATCTCTAGTAGTATAAGAATTACAAGGAAGACTTTTCACCCACTCACATGTCAGCCCGACTCTCATTGTATGATTGCAGACATTTGAAATCTGTTCCTTTCTCACAAGCAATGATTTTAGTAACTTCTCTTCTTTTTATCCAGAGAACTTACTAAAGAACGGTGGCTTCGAAGAGGGTCCGTACATCTTCCCAAACACGTCCTGGGGAGTATTGATCCCTCCGAACATCGAGGATGACCACTCGCCCTTGCCTGGCTGGATGGTGGAATCTCTCAAAGCAGTCAAATACATCGACTCCGCCCACTTCTCTGTCCCCGGGGGCAGGAGGGCAATCGAGCTCGTCGCCGGAAAAGAGAGCGCGATTGCTCAAGTAGCCAGGACCATCCCGGGGAAAACCTACACCCTGTTCTTTGCCGTCGGAGACGCGAGCAACTCATGCGAGGGGTCGATGATCGTCGAGGCATTTGCGGGGAGGGACACCATCAAGGTGCCCTATGAATCGAAGGGCAAAGGCGGGTACAAGCGCGCCGTCCTGCGGTTCAAGGCCACAACCACGAGGACCAGGATCATGTTCTACAGCACGTTCTACACCATGAGGAGTGACGATTTCTCTTCTCTGTGTGGTCCTGTTGTCGACGACGTAGTCCTCTTGAGCGTCAGGACTAGGCTCATGTAAGAGTTTGACCAAAATAATTGGTCAGCAAACTTTTGCTGTGTGGAGTGAGACGAGGGTTTTTCAGTAAGTGTCAAGTTTCAAACTAGCTTATAAAACCCAAAACCAGAAAAATAAGAATTAGATATACTGCAATGGAAGGTTGATATGGTATATATTACTGGTGGGTTTACTTTACCAAGCCTACGTATTATTGATAAATTTGAAATAAAAGGTTCGTTTTAGTGCCCTTTTTCCTATATCTACCAAATATATATATAACATTCTTTAAAAACAAGAAAATTCAGTTTCATTTACACAGGAAGAAAGTGAGCGGAGTTGTCTTCCAATAAATTTGCTAACCCAGTCAAAACCAAGAAAAAATCTACAAATTCATTTTCGACCAATTTGGTCAGTCACAAAAAGAGAAGAAAGCTGGCTCCTCTATACTAGGAATGTAGCACTGACAGTATATTGCAGTTACACATGCACACACAAAAGCACAAGCAGCTGCAGGAAGAAAATTGAGAGTAACAAAAGGGGGAGGTGACAAAATTAGGATTAACTTAATATGCACCGGACTGGGTTCATGGGAACCTGACAAGTGCATATGTGTTGGGTACACACAGTAATAAGTACTACTCTAGCCCAAAATAGAACAAACATTTGAGCTCATGCGGAAGTTTTTAGGGCCTATAGGCAATGTTTTGATGACTCAATCAAGCGCTGGACATATTTAACACTTAACAAGATTATATACATTTGGTAAAACTAACTGATGTCGACTTAAGTATATCGAGAATTCATTTAATGTGTTCAGTAAAGAAGGGGTTATTTAATTCGTCCAAGGGAAAAACAATTGATAAATTAGAATGTCATCCGTTAGTATTATGTTTGCTAAAATCAATCAACAATTTCGTGTTTGGTAAGAAATAAAAAAAATAATTTTCGATTCTAGGACATTATGCAGGAATCTTCATTTCCAGTTTTAGTACTAAAAATGTCCGACACTTAGAATTCAATTACAGTTCCAGATTCAATTCTCGTATTTCAACTTTATCCAAAAAGGCCTAACTATTCAGCATTAGGTTTTGTTATGTTATTCTGAAAGCAATTGCATTCATCCTCTTCAAAAACTATATGGAGGAATCCTTCAGCGTTGTTCTAGTAGCTTAATATCTACTTCTGCTCAGGTAACCCTCAATGGTTTCCACTTATTCAGTGAAGTCAGACCAGCTAACAAAACCCTAAAAATTGCCTTCTATCTAATGCCCCTTTATCTCCCTAGGGCATGCAAAATAGAGAATATGGACAATCGAGACAGACATTTAGATGGATATAGTAACTCAGAATACATCACCAAAAGCACCGACAATTAATTTCAGGAAAATGCTGCTAGTGCAATACCTCCATCGATTAAAGTTTTACCGGTCCAGGAAAACCTTACCTGACTAGCGCGGAGAAAGGTACAATCTATGCTCTAGTTACCAAAACGATTGCCTTCACTTAACCTGCCCAAGGCTGAAAACAAGAAGAAAAACAGTATGCCAAGCACGAATGATTCGGATTTCAAAACAAAAAAGTTAAATGAAAACCTCAGTCGGATGTTCTGACTATAGTCGTGAGTCTCAGTGCTCCTATGCAAATCCCCAATTTTGCATTCACAATCCAATGCATATGCTCTAGGGCCTAAAGTTGTGCATCTAACTTCTAAGCTTATCAGCACCAAGCGAATGACGTTCTAGCTCACGGTATCCAGAAGAAATGTTTATCTTGTTCACTAGAAGAATAGGTTCATAATTCAAATCATTCTATTATCAGCACACATCTTTCTCAGTACAGAACATAAATTTTAATTACCATTCTGACATATAAGTCAACCTTAATGTAGACAAAAGCCTGCTTATTTCCTTTGGCATATACCACCAACAAACAGCAACAAGCTTAGGGTTTCTCCAGCAGGTGGTGGTACTGAAAGAAGAATAAAAGTTAAATACATAGTTATGGTAGAGAACTTGTGAATTTTAAAGAGGAAACCAAGTAACAGAACTTCTAAGATGCTATCTGAGAAAAACTTCACTACTCAAACCTCCTCAGATGTGAAATTAGTTGACAATAGATGAAACATGAACATGCTGATATATGCCTGAGACAGATTTAAGATTAATAGATGGACTCCTTCAATCTACCTAGTAGTTGATATTGAACATATTCACTAGTACTACTTTGATCTCAAAAAAAATTTGAGCACACATTCAATCATCAAATGCAAGAAAATTCGGAACATATGCAACAGGTATTTTCATTGGTTAGTATAACAATTGAAACAAAGGAAATGAAAATCGAACCTAAAAGAAAGTTATACAGGCTTAACACAGACTATACAATTTAAAACTGCTACAAATCATAATAAGGCCACTAAAGTAAAACCTAACTATCCCCGACACAATGAATTCATACATGCAATGAGTAACCATTTATTTCTTTCGAACGGGATTCCAAGTACTTCAGCTTCTGTGATCTTTTACTTGGCACGAAAAATGACTGTGGTAGACTTTATGACATATTAATTTTCTAGAAGAAACTTTTCAAATATAAATTGCATAAGAACATTCATATTAAAAATAGATCCTCCGAAAACATAGTTCTAGCAATTATTAGCACAAATCTTTGTGGTGCAAAAACTTTAACCTGCACGGGATGAGGATATTATGGAAAAAACCTAACTTTCTTTTGGCTTTTTGGCCCTTTTAACGAAAAAATTTCAAAGGAAGAAAATCAATAATGAAATAATCATGAGCTCCATCACATAAATTATTAGAATAATCATGAGCTCCAACACATCCTGGTAGGCCAACCAGCAAACAAATGGAGGCAGCTTTATTCACATTAACATTCATGTATCAAGAGGAAAGCAATTCCCAATCTCTTGACATCATTCAATTGCCTGGATAAAATGTGTGATTCTGGGAAAGAGCTAATTAGCAATGACTTGACATCATTGTACTATTCAAATGATGAATTAATAGTCAATCGCCAACATATCTGCATAAGAACAATTAATAACTAAAAAGTTCCGTGGCAGAAAAAAATTGTTATGCATGAGCATTTCACAGAAGTTGATCAATCAAAAAAAAGATATCTTTTAAAGAAAGGACTGAATGTCAGGCTCACAATTTAAAACACATTGGATATTTTCATGTGGTTCCAGCATAATGCTTGCAAAGGCAACTCATGCCTCTGTTCAAACCTCAATGACAAAAACATGATCACAAAACATGTGTTGCTTTGTTGTTGGATGGATCTACAATCTCACAAGACTCTAGTTGGTACATGAGGTGCAGTTAATGCAATTTCTCTTACAGCAACAGTGAGTTCTTTTGAATCTTTAACACTATTACCCTTAAAATTTCTCTATTCTGTGAACTTCAATTTTCTCAATTCATATTGCCGTAATCCATGAGAGAGAGAGAGAGAGAGAGAGAGAGAGAGAGAGCCAGGTTGTATAATCAGTGCAAGTTGGCCATTCTTTTAAATCCTTAACCAGTGTGTCAAAAAGATATATGAACTAACGGCTCAAAAACATTTCAGTTGATTGAGATGGCTACCATTGCCATCATTCACAACCATGCAATGAAAATGCTGTTTATCCAAAGCTGTCATACACATAAATTATAACAATAAATGATGTAATTTGCAATTACATCATTTAAGAGAACGTAGTTCAGCATTTGCAAATTACATAATTTGAGAGACCTACAAATGACCTGATCCAGATCTCGGAATCTTCTTTAGGATACTCATCATTGCTGAACGCAACAGGAGTGCAGACTGTTTCCGCTCTTCACTGAAGTGATGGAGAGTAACGCATCAGAATATTAAATTTGGAAATTTGCTAATTTTGTCATGTATTCACTTTTTTTAGAAAGATTATATTCAGAAACTGTCTATGGTACATGCCAAAAGGAATCTAACACAGCATCATCTTTGGACCTTTGGAAGCAAAGACCAGAAGGCTCCAACTTCAGCCCCGCATAATACAGGGCATGTTGTGATGCTTCTCTTTTGAAGAAGAATGGATGCAGATATTGCCCCATGGTCTATGCCAGGAGAGACCAAACGCAGCATCATGTTTTGAAGTTTTCGAAGCAAGGTATACTTGCCTCTAACTTCAACCCTGGAAAATACAGGGACATTTATTAATAACATCCTCACATTTGGATTTCCAATGTTGCCATCAGGTTAGAGACAGGGAAATCAGAAAGATTGCTGGTGCAAAATTTCAGAGCATAAACTAGCTCTATATGTTGTATAATTCATCAAAGTCAATGAGTGAGGCACCAGGACATGTTAGTATCCTCAGGAACCTATGCTCCAGTCACTTGTACATACACAAAACCTACTAAACAAACGATTTTGCCAAGATCCAATGTCTAATCAGGTCATATGAGACCCTTCTGCAATACAAGAAGAGAATCGACAAGAGAGAGATTCTACAAACAATTTATTATTCAGTGATATACATACAATCTATCAAGAAATAGAAAGATCCATCACAAAGGTCCACAAAGAAGACAGAAACTTGCTTTGTAGAGGTAATCAGAATAAGAACAATAGCGTTCACTTTTATTGTGGTCAAAAGAGATGCTTTTAAATACATATCCTCACCATATAGTCATTGCAGAGAAATTAAAAAGAAGCAGAGGAACATACAATGTACTTTCCTTTCTTACAATTTCATGGTGCCATCTGCACAGCGAAGTAAATCCAATAAAAGATAGACAAAAGTACTGCATCTGACCGTCAGCTAATATGAAGACTTCTTCTGGAAGAAATTAAGTTCCTTAGCTCTATCAAATGTTCATCATTTGATATGTTAAGAGAAAGACGAAGATTCGTCAATAAGGCTTCTTGTTCCCAACTCATGGGTCCAGAAGCATACAATGCCACCAGAATGCTGCGATATGCATGCAACTCTAAACTATGCACTCTAGTTGCAACAGCCTCCTCATGAGGAATGGGGAAAGTTACGTCCTCCTCATCATCACGTCCTTGGAATGATTCAGCGCTACTACAAAGAGTATTGGCATCTTGACTAGGATCCCTCAAAGTTCGACTAGACAACCTATTGAAACAATCATCTACAACACTGCAACTACCGACAGAACTTGCATCTGTATCGGAATCATTAGGTTCTAGATGATTGCCAAAGGAAGCATGCATGTTTCTTTCACCCAGAATTTCTCGTGGGTAGGCAACAGCATCTACCTTTTCCAATGGTGCCCTCAGGAACTCATTATCTTTGATTGTTGCTTTCCTTTCGCGACTGTGTCCAGCGTTTACTCTTAGCTGTGATGAGCAATAAGGTGAGAGCCTTTTCATCCCCGACGTTCTACAGGAAATGACATCAGAATTCTGGAATCGGCTTTTGTTGGCAACCGGCAGACAACTATTCTCGACCAGCATGTTCATCTTTGGTTCCTCTTTGTGCTGCAACCGAACTTTATTTCCTTTGAGTTTCATGGTCAATGCACACACTACACAGGGAAACCTGAACAGCCAACAAGTGAAACATATGATCTCTCTCCTAGGCCATAAAAGCAACATAGAATGTGAAGGACAAATAATGCCAATGACAATGCTACAAAAACAAAAAACCCCAAATGTAAATCAACAGGATGCTGCTTCTAATAGAGATCTTTTCGACATAAAACTTTCCCATATGCAAAAGTAAAAATCATTGTCAAAACCATCCTAAGCATAAGTCCCAAGGCATATGAATCAGATGAACCCAATACAGAAAAGCACGATCGAAAGCCGCCGATCATGACACAACAAACAATCTCCCTTTAAAGGAAGAAAATTTATGAATCAAACATCCAAAAAGATGCCTTGTCATATATCCAAACCAAATTTTTAAGCCTCAAATGTGAAAAAAAAAAAAAAAAACAAGGCTCAGTAATCTAATAAAAAAATCCAAAACATGGGTTCATACCATTTACATAGTTAGGCACAGATACAACAAAAACCAGGCAAAATCAACAACATAGGGGAAAAAGATCCAAAAGGGTTGATAAAAATCATATCTTGACTTTCCCCCTAGATTCATCTTGCGATGAAGACCCCAGAATCTTCAATCCCAAAATTTCATTGTTCAAAAATCCACATCCAAAGACAGAGCAACAGGGCAGTTATCAATTCCAATAAATCGCAATAAAAATCAAAATAGATGGCGAAAATTCAAACTGACCTTCAAGGACGAATGGCAGCCCCCGAACCCTAATTTTGATTTTCGCGTGCGTGTGATTAGGTTTTCCTCTGTTCGATTTGGAGAGAGATTTGAAGAGATTTGCGGTTTGAAGGAGAAGAAGAAGAAGGCAAACGATGAAATTTGGGTTTATAATGTGGGGTACTTTTCTTGCTTACCAGAAAAAACATAAATAAAGTAAGCTAATAAAAAAAAATATCTTTTTTATTTATTTTTATGCCCAACAACAAAATCTTTATTAAAAAAATGAAAGAAAAAAGGGAAAAGAAAACCCTTATTTTGCGGTTTGGATCCTGCAATTACTTTATATTTTCGACTTGGTGCTTTAAAATGGGTTAATTGTAATTTACCCCCAATTTCGAAATCTATCTCATTCTAAAGTTTCATTTGTTTCGCGAAAAATAAATGATATGAAAAATATTTTCCTAAAAATGATCGTTTGAAATAATTAATCGATAGAAAATATTATTATTATTAACAATAGTTTATGATTAATTTTTTTCGTGAATGATGAAAATAGTTTCATTCATTCATATTAGTGAGCTATATAAGCGATCAATTTGAAGAATATATTTTTCAATTTATTCATTTTTTTTTAAACAAATGGAGGCTAAGAGACAATCTAAAACAATTCATTAAACTTTCCAATTGAATCAAAATACTCCAAAAAAGAAAAAAATAATTGTTAGGATAAAAGTGATGGAATAATTGTTACATGTATGTACTCATATACTAGGACATTATTGGGCCAAATCATGATGTCTAGTCATTTCGACTTAGGTTTTATGTAGCTCCAAAACAACAACTTTAAGACACAGAGGAATGCATGTCCTATGAATTGACAACTATACTGACCTTAATGGGAGCTGGTATTTCATGTAATGGTTATACCGTGTGGTATAACAAGCCAATCATGGTGAGACATATGATAAACAGGGCACCACATTCATAGCACACGCGTATTGGTAATTGATTGATTCACGTCATATCATATCATCACTCTCACGTGATGTAACCGTCACATAAAATACTTTTTGCTGCAGAAGGACAATTTCTTAATACACAATTAGATGCATAACACCAACTTCGAGGGAGGGAGCGTGGGTAAGGGCAAAGTGGATGAGAGCTAAGGTTCTCTTGGATGAATCGTGCTGGGTAAATCGAAATTGGTTTATAAAATTCGTTTACTAAGTGATGTAGCCAGAGCTTTTATTAACTATCGATATGCCCCCGCTCATTATTTGAAAGCTCAATTACAGCCCTACACACCACTTATTAATCCAATTTGATGGACCGAGTCTTAAAAGGACCGCTTTTCTCTCCAACCACTTTCCCGATTGATAGTTTACTAATGCGGGCATCACTGCATCACTGCATCCATATATCCAAATCTGTATATCGGTGATGTCCAACCTTGTAACCCATCAATCAAATATGCGACCGAAGAAAGTTTCCGCCAACCAAGGATGGAGAAAAACCATGGCCCGGTAAACCTAGTAATACTTTAATCGAAAAGGTGTTAGTTGGTCACGCGAATTGAACCATATGTTGGTTCTCTTTACGCTCAGTTGTTGTGGGAATTAGATATAACTAACGCACAGTACAATGTCTCCTTCAACATAAGCCATTTTAAATATTTTATATGACAATAATGGCTCCCATGATGGCATGCGTTTTAGTTGCATCATTGCGATGTTATGAAAACGATGGGCTCCGTTTTCTCCACTTGTATGCTACATTAAAAACCATTGTGCACAACTTGTTGGAATCTTTCTCATGTATGTTAAAATGTCTTGTTGTTGATAATTAACTAAAGGGTCCGATCGACCCAAAAAAAAAAACTAAACTAAAGGGTATGTTTGTTTGTACGAAAATTGTTTCGGGAAAATTGTTTTTTCGACTTCTGGTATTTGGACGATAGAAAACTAATCGATCTATTGAAAACAACAAGCTTAAAATGTAGAAAAACGACTTCTCCTTTTAATAAGAAGGATAACACTTTCCCTAATTCATCAGACAAACGAAAACTAACAGTTTTTCTGGAGAACGATCTTCATGGAAAATATTTTCCATTATCATAAAGTTTGCAGTGAAACAAACGTGCTTGCTTTCTTATCATAAGGATAAGTTGTTTCCCCTCAATCTAAGTTTGTTAATTTTAATTTCATGGAAAAACGTTTTCCATAAATTAATTAGTTTTCCGTCGTCCAGATACAGGAAATCGGATAATAATTTTCTAAAAATAGTATCCCTTCGAACAAATGGACCTACTTGAATTTGGCAACACACAACTATAATTGCCAACGTCCTTTTCCCTTGAGCAATGGTTGATTGAAGCCGCACGTTAATCGGTGGATCATATCCCTACTGGAAACGAAAGCGACGTCGCACGGTGGCACACGAACGCACACGCGTGCGCGCGAGTACATGTTGCGACATCCATAATATGTTGAAACTTCCATTCCGTCTCGTCCCCACAATGTTATCTTCACTGAAAAATCTTCGTCACATCGAGCTCTTGCAATTGGCCAATGAAGTGAATTTTCTATAACAGGAAAGGGGGTTGTCACAAAAACCAATCGGTGGATTTCTTACGATGGGTTGTCGCGATTTTCGATTTCTTACGATGAGTTGTCGTTACCCTCAAAAGCATCGTCCTTCGTGTCGAAGTTGGAGGACAACCACTGGTTGAGCAGAAAAATCCTTATAATTTCTAGCCCCTGTCGTCGACATAAAAAAAAAAGGAGCAAATTATTTCCCATGGCAAAACGTGGGCAATTTCCTAGATGATAAAGTTGGGTAATATTTGCCAATAGGCATTCGGTCCCGCTAGTAAACAGATTGAAGGGGTGGAGCCGGAAAATATTAGGTCCGGGATTCGATCTTCGTATGCATAAAGTGGAGCAAGACCCGAAAAAAAAAAAGTTGGGCATCCAATTGGGGTCCCTCTTGTGCTTTGGCATGGTGCTTGGATGATGTGTGGAAGTATGGTTCAAATCTTGCCGTAGTGTAGTAACCGTGCAAAGTTCGAGATATGAACTGTGCGTGCAAGAAAGCATCAGGCTCTAGTTGGAGGAGTGGCCATGGGAATGATTTTGGAGCAATTATTACACAATGAGACAAGAAATCCACCATGCTGCAATCATGCCCGAGTCCGACAAAGTTGCAACAAAGTTCTTATTCCTATGCACAACCGTTAAAAGAATGGCATCGGACCACAAATCCTGGTGCCAGCAATTAAGGAAAGCTACAGCAACAGAGACAAGTTTGCCGAACTGGATTATCTGAAGATCCAAAGACTTGAACGTTAAACCAGTTAACAGTAATGTAGTGAATGGCATACCACCTTGTTTTCTCTGTGACGGGCGAGAGCATCGGCAAAACAGCTCACGACAGGTATCTAGAGTCTCAACTGAAAAGCAAAATCTTCATTACAATATCTGACTACTCCAACCGCCTGTGCCGACGGACGATTACAAGAACATAAAGAACTTCAGCAGATTGAAGCATCAAGAAACATACAAGACGTATGTTTAGGTGACTAATTCGACCAGTATGGAAGTACATTGCCACATGCCTTTCATCGAACGTGAATAAAAAGGTACATGGAAAAAACAGTGTAACAGCAAGTCACCATTTCTTTTTTGGCTTTGCAAGGTGAGGGCCTGCTTATGATTTCAACATCTTGTCTATGAATACATGTGACTGGATTTGCCTGAGCACTGACCATTAAATGGTCCCTAAAAGAACTCAGAGATAGGAAGCTTCTTGAGCAATGATAATTCTCATCACTCGAATGACTCAAAACTTTTCACTTTACAAAGAAGATCACATATTCCATCAGAAATCTTTCTTCTCGTGACATTTTACAATCTCAAGACAAGAGTAACGCCATATACTTATGAATGGTTCCCCATGATTGAACAGGGCGTACTTGTGTTATCCTTCTCTTTGGGGTTTATAGTCGCATCTTTTTCTTTCCTCTAAACGGGACATGAAAGAATATAGAACCTCTATGGCATGAAAAATGGCTAAGTAAGATCTTCCGATGGCTTTTGTCAGTTGCTTGCTTTCATAAATTCGGAAGCCGAAAACTTGCAATGACCATGTCATATTTCAAACACTCAATATCTTTGCACTGACGCTCTAGGTGTCATGATGGTCCAGTAAACAGATAGTGAAGCAAAGGTGCCACGACTGCAACACTTAAGCTGTTTCCCAGAAGAGCATATCTGCAGCAGGAAGTATACACGTTCGATTTCAAGGACCAAAAAAAGAACAGACGACATTAGATTTCAATATCCATAGGTGCAAAAGCAGATCTAGGATGTCATATACTGATGCTTCAGGGGAGATAACTCAGCGCAAATAGATCAATCGATAGAACCTTAACAGTAGACAGCACCCAAAACTAGAAGAAGAGATATATTTTCACTTGTGTTTTTTTAATATTATTGAGTTAAAAAATGCATCAAAAACCTTGCAAATGATAGAGGAAGCAGGATGAGAATGTCGAACTTTTCTTAACTTTAAGGGAAGTCTTATTATATTGAATCCGCAAGTGTGAAGATTCGAACCCACAACCTTCTAGTTGCTGAGCAACACCGCATCCAATCTTCCGTCATTGGAGGCAATTAACTATTAATAAATACATTCTACTTCCTCCCTTGGATAAAATCATTGACTTTGATGCACGGAGGACTCGAATACACGAATTCCTGTCATGAAAAGAGAGAACTCTACCATCTTGGCTACACACAGGGACATGTTAACTTCAATATTATACGCCTAGCAGGAAAAAAACTTCGACATCATATTAAGTATGTAAAGTTCTGTGAGTTGATCTTTAAAATAAAAAACCGGCCTCGAACCTTTTAAACCGCATAAAGGTCATTTGTCCGTTTGGTCTTAGGAATGGTTTTCAAAACACTACCTGGAGGCTGAATTCTTCTATACGATAACAAATTCCTTCCATCGTCTCTCGAAACCAATACCTTAAAATCACTGACGTAACAAAAATCAACAGTGAGCTGCAATGACACCAGCTATGCTGATGTGACATCTAATTGATAGCATACGCAGCATAATTAATATAATAGAAATAAAGGAGGCTTGGTGACAGCTTGAGGGTTGGTCTTGGAGGCCTCCACCACTGGTGACCCTTATTGGGTGTTTTCCCCACTCATTTCTCTCTCTGTCTCTCTTCCTCTCCTGTTTCCTTTTTATTGTCAATTTCCAAGTGTTTGCTTATGTGCTTCAACTAGATGCCACATCAGCAACATGTCAATTTTTGTGATGTCCATTAGTAAAAACAGTGGTGAAAGGACTCGATTACCCAAAGGATTTGATTAAAACACATCGAGGACACAAAATTACAACAATTAGAGGATCAAAATTACATTTAACCCAAAAGACAGGGGTGAAAAAAGGTAGCATAAGGATGATGCAATAGGTGGATGTATAAACTCGAACATTTCAAATCAGTGAAAAAAAGAGGCAGCGTTAAACTTCCAATAAAGATAACTATGTTATTGTTAACGTTTGGATGACCACCAAACTATCTTGAGGGTGATGCAACATACCTTTGCTTAAGGTTGACGTGATCTGGAAAAACAAAATGCACAGGGAAAGAGTGGAAATTTGCAACCTGATTGCCATTAAAGAAAGACAAAAAAAAAAATATTAGCACCATTCAGGACAATATAAATCTCACCAAACAGAACGTCTAGGGAAAATATAGATACCTCTCGAGGAGTAAAATATCTAAGGCACTGCTCCTTTAATGGGAATCCCTTGCCTTTCATTTCTGGCTGCATGTTAACCATTGTGAAGTGTCACAGCAAGAAATTTCCATCTGCTGGATGTTTTGACTATGTAGAATAATCATATAAGAATGGCATCTCTAATGACGAAACTACGAATCATTCAAAACCAGTACTATAGCCTGTAGACATCTCAGTTTCGACTTGCTTTTTAAAAATGCACAAGGTTGCAATTACTAAGCCTGGTAGTGAAAGATTAGATAAATGGACCAGATTCATAACATATAAATGAAAATATCAGCTCCAATTAAGGGGGACAATCGAAAGTTATTCAATCCTTGTGTGCATCAGGGTACTCTAGAAATGCAAGACTAGCACATGCTAGTCCTATACAACAAGCAAATTTACAGTTGAACAGTACCTAAAGCTCTAGCATGTGATGCAATTTGTAAAACATGCCTGTTCAAGTTTAAAAATAGATTCTCACCTGAACAGTTGCCAAAAGAGACCCAGTACCCTTTACATATCGATAATAACTTTTTGTGAAACAGCAACACCGCCTCGAATCAGGATAAACAATGTCTATAGTCTGTTAAGGAATTTGTCAACGGATAGTGAATATGTTTGATGAGTAAATGATGGGGGACACTATTTCACAGGACAAGCAATAAATGACGGGAGACACTATTTCACAGGACAAGCAATAAAAAAAGGAAAGCATATAAGGATACCCATAGCACTGCCCCACCTCTCTATCAAACTTAACGGTACATGGTAAAGGTCCAAACCAGTACTGCTGAATCCATTTCTTTGATCATGACCCTTGGAAGGATCATTAGATTCTCTAGAAATGTGGTTGTTTGCATTCTCAAAGCCATAGTCAGCCGTTTTAGGGCCAGCACTACTCTTGAATTCAAGAAAGTGCTCCACCGGGACACAAGATTCCAGCAGCTTATCCCAGTTGTCTTGTGGTCTCAAACACTCATCAGTAACTGGTTCACCATCATGCACAAATAATGGGCTTGGACACCATATAAGCTTGTCATTGAAGCAAGGGCTCCAGAAGGATGAGGGATTCCTTTTAGCCTGCAGGTCAGCGGACACAAGTTACATGCCTGAACTGATAGAACATAAGAGATATATGTGGATAATACTAAAGCAACCATTCACATGAAATGAGCGTACATAGATTGCCAGAGTCACTGCAAATAACTTATTGGCGAGGTGATCTGCCAATAATACAATAGTCAAGACAGAACTGGTAAAGTCAATGGTCCTCGCAACAAATTCATCAGAGCTCAATTAACCATAAATCAAAATTTTTTTTAGAAGAAAAAGGCAATAGTTTTCTCAGCGAATTTGACCAAGAACTCCAAAATCAACATCCTAAAATTCATCAGAAGTATCAGCCATCAGGTAAAGAGAATTTAATTCAGAAAATTTCATCTCAAAGAAAGTTAATATTGTTTGTAACACCTCAGAAATATAGCAGAGACAGAGAGAGGACGAGTACCAAGCAAAAGTACCGAGGCCTAGAATATGGCACCGCAAACTGCAGTGGGCTCAAAATAAATTCTTGAGTAGCAAAACCACTACTTTTCAATGTTTCAATCATTTTCGCATGAGTATCAGAAGTCTGCAAGAAAAAAATCACAAATCAGCAAATCTTCTTGTTGGCTATAAATGAAGCAAGATGATAGATAAACAAACCTCAAATCCAATGACATTTTCCACAAATAAGAATATAGGAGGCCGGGATAAGTGTGGTATGAGTTCAAGAATCCTGAGAAATGAAAAGGCTCGAGCATCACCAGATTGCTTTTGCAGACCTAATGACAACACGATGAGAATTCTCCACCCCCCCAAAAAAAAGAGCTACAACCTCAAAAAGAAAACAACTAACCTTGTCGAGTATAGGGTTGGCAAGGAGGAGAAAGAAGCCATGCTTGTGCTTCATATCTGTCGAGATCGGCAGCAGTGAGACTTTGAATATTGCCCTGTGGAGTACAAATATAACACACATGAACATGGGTAAGTTCAAAAGAAAGCATGCAAAAGCATATGTAAGAGCTAGTACAAACAATTGAAGCAGTGACTTCCTGTCCTGTAGTCCTTTGAGTCATTTCAATAAAAAGCCCATCCTCTAAAACCTAAAAGCACCAATCTCGCATAAGTCAAGCACAGCTATGGAATTCTAATTCCTTAACTCGAACGGCAAAAACCCATTGGGGTACTGAACGAACTTTTCTAGTTTTGTAGAAAACAGATATTCTATAAACAGACACGCCATATAAAGGCATTGATTTCACTACCTTTCCCAATTCACGTGTCGTTCAGGAAATTCTAAAAGCAACACTTTCCAACTTATCGAAGAAGAGGATTTCTTCATAAAACGTGAGAATTAACAGCACATACTTTTGTCAGTTTCGAAAGAGTAGATGAAATAAGTAGCTGCCTATCAGTGAAAAACTCTGACAAAACCAGTGAACCCAGATCCTCATCAACACTGGCACGTCGCGCTCACCTACTAATCGCTGAAAACCCACATTTCTATTCCAAACAAAAAGTAATCTTCCCTCAATTCGCAATCAAGCAGGCACCAAGCAAACTTCTTTAGCCACAAAAATCAGCACAAACACACGTGTCATTCCCATAAAGGATCACAAAACAGCTTCCTAGTCATGTAACTTCAAACGTCAGCCAAAACCAGCAGACCCCTAGTAAACCGCACAGAGAAATTACTTCGGCAAATCCACAAGAACCAACGAATCACAATCGTCATTGAAATAAAGCAAGAAAGGAAGGAAGGACCGACCTGGTAAGGACGATGCCCGAAATTGTGCTCGTACACGTCGTTGGCCACGTCGTTGATGTCGAACGCTTCCACCACTTGCGCGTCCACGCCCGCCTTGGTCAGCGAATACCTCTGAAGCAGCAACACAAAACCAATTAATACAAAGCGAAAAGCGCGCGCCCGCGAACGCGCGCCGATCCAGCGCAGCGAAACTTCATTAGGGTTGTTCTTGGGACAGAAGGGTATACCATGCCGCCGACTCCGCTGTAGAATTCGAGAACTCGCCATTGATGCTTGCCCTCCATCGCTTTGCTGCTGCTGCTGCTTCTGCTCTGCTTCGGACTCGCTCCGTGTCACGGACAAGAAGAGAAGACAGCAACGAACGATTTCGCTATTCAGGTTCTGTAAATATATTCTTGGCTAAAACGAAAAGTGTGAAAAAAAGTTTTCGTACGAGGTTAACTTTATAAAAATTTTAAAATAGTCACAAAATAAATATAAAAAAGGAAATTATGAGAAAATTTAAAATGATTTTAATAATTATTATCTAAAAAATATGAACGCTCTTCGTATTAAATTGGGAAAATGACATAAACAATTTCTGAATTTCGGCCTAATGTGCAATTTGATCCTTGAACTTTTATTTTTTTCAATGTAGTCCCTAAACTTAATTATATATTCAATTTGGTCCATAAACTTTTAATTTGTTCAATATGATTCATTAACTTTTAGTACATGTTCAATTTAGTCCATGAACTATATGAAAATGTTCAATATAGTCTTTTCATTAATTCAAGTTCAGGGATTATATTAAACATTTTCATATAGTTCAGAGACTAAATTGAACATGTACCAAAAGTCCAGGGACCATATTGAATAGATTAAAAGTTCAAGGACCAAATTGAACATTAAACTAAAGTTCATGGATTACATTGAACAAATTTAAAGTTCTAGGACCAAATTGCACATTGGACCAAAGTTCATAGACTTTATGTGTCATTATCCCTATTAAATTGAACTCACGTTTTCGCATTCATCCGTTTCTCCCTAATTATCCCGTAATTTATTGAAAAATCCCGATTCATATGTACGATATTTCCAACCAAAAAAAAAAAGTGACTATTATATGAATATGCAACATCCCTTCCCTCGCGATACGGAGACTCGGACCCCTGACCCCGAAGAGCAGCAAACTCTAACCGATGCCCCCGCAACCTTCGTGGCAAAGGTCCAATATCTAGAAGACATTCAACATTGCGGGCCTCTCAAATGGCGAGAAGAAAGCCGTCTACAAGATATGGGGTGTGAAATTATCCGCAAATCCGATGACGGGACATGCCGCTTGAAGCGGGATCAAGACAAACATCTCGCTAAAACGGCCAAATCTGTCGGGGAAGCTCCGCCGCCGCTATCGCGACGGGCTATAGCCGGCAGTTCATTCAAGTATGTCGAAGCCCGGGCTCAATGCCTAATCGCATGGTACAAAACCTTGCCACCGAGGTACCATTTTGGTTCGTTCCAAGCACCACAAACACCAGGATCTGCAAGGGTTGGAACAAGGAGAAAGAGCATAATGGGTGCCGCTGCTTGACAATTATGCTCATTGCATTGTCACAAGTCACCGGTAGGGCTTAAATTGGGTGTTATATCGACGAACTCTGTTGTTTAAGGAGCATCCATGTCCGCACAAATCAGACAATGTCTGCGCGGAAATCACGATGACGGCTCTCGACCAAACTGTTTTCCATCACTCTGGATAATGCCACCATCAACACACAGGTTGCTAGGAACATGGTCGAGCAGACGAGGCCGGTTCGCAATAGGAGTGATCGGTTCCCAGTCCGATCCGATTCCAAGATGGAGCCGGAACCAAACCAGGAGAACTGGTTCCCAAAATTGGGAATCGGGGATTGGACTGATTGGTCCTAGATCGAGAATCGGTCACTTTTTTTTTCCCACTACTTAATACCATATATTTTGAAACTAGAATTGTGTTCCCCATGCCGACTACTCATAATCACAAAAACAAGTGTGCAATTCAAACCAATGCGATGACGAATTGTATTCTTCATATCTACTACACATATGTTCTAATATTGGAGTTATATTCCTCATGCCGACTACATATAATTACAAAAAAAGAAGTATATGTGGTCAGTCTGGTCCGATTTGGTCAGTCCGGTCAGGTTTTAGGAACCGAAAATCAGACCGATACTCTCGGGAACCGAATCAAATCGACCGGTCTAGTCCAATCTGGGCGGTTCCCGATTTGGGCGGTCTGTTTCGCACACCCCTAGTTCGCAACCGCCAATTCTTCCATGTACGCTGCGCGCGCTATGTCTATCAATTTTTGCTTGCAAGACGGCCTTAAAAGAAATGTTTCGACTCGTAAATAGTATGCACCAGTGGGTGCACTACATAGGCTCCGCCCCCTCGAGGGTGCAAGAGATGGAGATGCCGTGCATGGGCCGTGAAAGAGAGCCCCAAAAGGTCCCTATAGAAGAATTTGGGCATTGCTAGTTCCGCCATTGTTTAACAAATGTTGGCGACGGTGCAGTGCCGGCTGGACATCTCTCCGGGGCATATACGCTACTCGATACGTCGCGGGGAATTCCATACCACGGACTGAGACACCGCGCTCATCGAGCCGAAAAGAAAAGAGCGTTTGGAACCTCATACGGAAAAAGAGAACGGTCCAAACGAGTTCTTCTATCTAGCCATTCGACATCCATGACGGATGCAAGCGACGAATATCTCACGAAGGATGGCTCGGGCTACTTTGAGAATGTCGGCCGTGAGAACCACGACGTTTTGCGCCGGTGAAAGGCCAAATCTTTTTCTGTCATGCTACTCTTTCCACGGTGGCCCTGTACATGCTTACTCCACCGGCGTCAACTTATCGTCCAAGGCGACTTTCAGTGTGTTTGGGTGAATTATTGGGGACAACAAGCAAAGGTTGTTCGGCAAAAGCCTGGAGATGACTGTCGTCGGTAGATCCCGGCTAATGGAAATTCTGAGGCGGGAGGAACGTGCTCACCAATGGCTTCCTAAAATTCAACTATATTGCTCAGGGATCATCTATCAACTCATACGTAAGTTCCATAACTCTCTTCCCTTCCAGCACCTCCGCAGGGTGTCCAAAGGGAAGAACAGAAATCACGCAGAACAACGCATCAGAGCCCGTTTCCGAGATTGTTACGACATCAATTCCGTCGTGGATTTGCGCCTCAAAGAAACCAGGCTGGCAAGCAAGTAGTCCATCGACTACTACTTTCATCAGTCGAAGCAGATGGTCATGAAGGCTACTGCAACTCCCCATACAGTTCAATGAAACTTCCGCTGCCCATGAACGCAAGCAGACAAGCTCAAATCAAAGCAGATCCAATAGACACCACCTGTAATGATCGATTCGTGCAGGGCGTTACAGGCCTATGTTTGGTTAATTTGGAACAAATGTAATACGATCTTGTAACCATAATGAACAAGTGGGACGAATCGAAGAATCTTAAACTACAAGTCATGAGTCAAGACCACATTCTCAAATCGAAAAAGACTCTGCTACTGGGACTTTCCGGTTGCGCCTTTCTCAATGGCTTCCAGATGAGCGCGAGTCGTTATGCCTTGATCTCTGCTGGAAGATAATGGCCTCTCATGAGTGCTCGTTTTTGTCTATCAAACCATATATGAACCTTTATTGGCCAGTATCCAGGAGATTGTAGACGTACATGAACATGATCATTTCTTGCGTTTCAGCATCATCATGGAGTCCAGTTCTTCTCCTCCCCAAGAAGAATGGCAGCGACATTCACACATAACCTCCATGTAGTAACACAAAACTCTGCAAATCTAGGTGCAGGAATCTTGTACTTGGTTACAGAAGCGAATGCTATCTTGCTAAAAGTGAATTTGGACGGAATTGAATCGAGAGGTGCACAAATCTTTAATGTTTACCATGGGCAGCATCGCTAGCAACTTTTAAGCATATCAGACCAAAAGAGACTCAAAGCAGCATAAACTCTTAAATGCACTACATCCAAGTTGATCCCGACTGTAAGATAAACACGATCATCTTCATTTCATATCTCGTAGGTCAATTGATACAGCAGTGAGTTACGAGATCAATGGACAAGTGACAGTAAAATGCCCAATGAACTGAACTTTCTGAGGTCCAGCCCAAAAGAAAAAGGAAGAACTGAACTTTCTGAGCCAACAATAGTTGTGTATATTGTCACAAAAGAATCAGTTGAGATAACTTATCATGGCTCCAAAGGCCACTAGCTAGTAACGTTTCTAGACTTACATCACTTTACCAGTAATCCCGGCAAGAGCATACGCCGTCTTTAATGTGGTGAAACCTCTTGGCATCGCGCATGATAAACTCTCTGCCCACTAACTTCGACATAATCTTCAGCGCGTTGTGGCAATCCCCACAAACACGGAGATTCTTAATGACCCGAATAGATGATCTGGCTGGACTACTGAGTAGACCATAAGAAACTGCAAGTCTCTCGCTGTGTGCTAGAAGGGCGTCCTCCTTGCTTTCCTGGTCAATGTCATGCAAGACAAATCTAGTCTCCGGAACATAACCAGCCTCTTTCATAAGTCCCCTTAATCCCCTTAGCTGAGCGTAGATTCTTTGCGTCTCGGGATGAGAAGTATCACCTGCTCGATATTCATGGACAGTGCTCCTCGCCTCTAAGATATTTTTCTTAGCAAGTTTTTTCTTCTCTTCCTCCTTAGCAATATCAGAAGCTGCCACTGGTACAAGACCTGACCTTGACTGTTCATTCAAGCGTGACGGATCCAACTGCTCAACAAGCTCAGCGCAGCGATCCCCGAGTTCTGTGTGCCCATGAATTCTACAAAGATTCATCAAGGTCTCCCAGATTCCTACACTAGGCTCCAACGGCATTTTCTCTACAAACTCCATCGCCTCATCCAGATGCCCTGTTCTTCCCAGCATGTCTACCACGCTCACATAGTGCTCCATAGATGGGACAATGCCATAATCCCTGCTCATTGATTCAAGATGCAACATCCCCTCATGAATATCACCCACTGCGGCACAAGCAGAGAACACAGCAATGAACATTTGTCCGTCAGGTTTAAGCCCTGCTTCTTTGAATTGAGTGAACAGGTCAATGGCATCCTCTCCAAGGCCATTCTTTGCAAGCCATGTGATCATGATGTCCCACGTTGACAAATTACGCTCAGACATTTTGTCAAAAACCGTAAACGCATCGTCCATGGAACCACATCGGCCATACATTTCCAAGATCCGGTTATAGGTGAAGACATTGAGAGGGGCCATTGATCTCATGACATGTTCGTGAACTGCTTTTGCTTCTTCTAGAGCTTTATTTTCACCACACTGGTGCATCAGTTGTACATAACGAGGTATATCAACAGCAACACACTTACTAACCAACAACTTCAAAACTTCCACAGCTTCCTTCACTTTTCCCTCTCTGCAGAAACCATCAAACTCTTCGAGGGAACCAATGTAAGACGGACCTTCAGAAGCTCCATCCAATGCTTGTCCAGGCCCGGAATCGCCAGGCATCTGAGACGCGGCCATCGAATCATTACTATCATTCGAGTTCACCCGATGCTGTCCCAAAGAAAAGTTTTGAGGGTACTGTCCCGGACCGGGATTCTGGGAGGACGCAGTTTGTTGACCATTTCGAAAGCTGCCACCCATCCCCATATTATAGCCAAAATTTTCCTGATGTTGCCCCATCATTTGTGTACTCGAAGGGCTCTGGGAATAATATCCACTCGCGTTAGGCCTCACTTGCCCGTATCCTTCTCCATAAGAATAAGCTCCGACGGTAGACGCATTCCCCCGCTGACCATAAGCCATATTCGGATTCCGCTCAAACCCCTGCACACTACCTGAAGAGCTGTGCACATTCACATTTTGTGGAGACTGTCCTCCATACTGACTCGGATGATAACCCGCATTCGGACTCCGATTCCGCCCAAAATCGCTCGGTTTCTGCGCCCAACCGCCCGAGCCATCGCCGTAATTGCCGGTGTTCATATTCTCCACGACCGGCCGATTCCCATATTCACCTCCATAACTCTCCCTATACATCCCGCCATTCCAGTTCGTCGCCTGAGAGTCGCCATAATACGGCCTACCATGCTCGTTAAAGTTCCTACTTTGCACGACCGACCCGTAAACCCCATTAGGGTTTAAGCTCCCCCGAGCAGTATCAGCAAAATCCCTGCTCTTCTCGCGAACCCCATCGGGGCTCTGCTCAAGCTCGGGCATGTGCTCGCCGTTGGAGCCATTGGGCACGCCAAGATCGTAACTTTCGGCGGCGGAGCCGATGAGCCTCGACGGGTTCAGCGCCCAAATGGAACCCGAGGAGGAGGAGGTTCGCGAAGAGCGTACCTTGGGAAGAGAAGCGAGGCAGTCGACCGCCAGAGCCGCCGCCGCCCTCTTCGTGCACATCTGAGCTCGGAGGGGCGCTCTCGGGGGAAGGAATTCGAACGCCGCCGGCGGTCGCGAGGATCGGAGGCGACGGCGTACGGCGGAGGAATCGCCGGAGGGGAGGATGAAGAAGTTGAATGTGCTTGGTGGTGCTGGCGGGGTACAGTGCCGGTGCCCTTCTTAAACCCTATTGAGCTGCTGCTATATGTAGAACTTTGGGCCCGTTTGGTTCGGCTTTTAAAATGCAACTTGAGGGAATGCAAATACCTTTAGATGAAAGCCACTTGGGAAAATGCAAGTGGTGTTTGGTAAAAAAAATTTGCAAAGCTACTTTGGCCTAAATAGTGTTTGGTAAATTTTTTTTTGCAAAGGGCTTTGGCAATTTTTATTCTTAATATTCCGATTTTACCCATATTACTATTTATCTTCTTCACCGGCGAGGGTGGCCGGCGAGGGTGGCCGGAGAGGGGCCGGCGAGGGCGGATCTGGCCAGCAAAGGCCCGGCGAGGGGCCGGCGAGGTCGCCTGACCCAGGCGACGGCCGCCTGGGATCGGGCGACCGCCCAGGCGCCGTCGCCTGGGTCGGCGGTCCCCTGGAGTCGCGCGACCCAGGCGACGACCTCGCCGGCCAAATCCGCCCTCGCCAGCCCTTCGCCGGCCACCCTCGCCGGCCACGTGAAGAAGATGAACAATGACAGGACAAAACCGGAAAATTGAAATTTGAGTGAGGGCAATTTGGGAAGGAAAAATAGGCTTGAAGATTCCACAAATCTTTGAAAGCCCAAAGCAGTCCGGACAGCCTTTGGGCTTTCAGCATTCTAATGGCATTCCAAATGCTGGCTTTCGGCTTTTCGAGTCCGGAAAGCCGAACCAAACGGTTCAACATTTTGGGAAGGGGCTTTCGAGGTCGAAAGCCCCTTCCTAAAGCTGAACCAAACGGGGCCTTTATGAGGAATAATAATAGATAAATAAACAACACAAGAAAAGGGAAACGAAAAGGAAAATGGCAAAATGCATAGATTTTGAACCTGCCAAATTATTTTAGTCTCGACCAAAAAAAAATTGTTTTTAGTCACAAGAAAATACATGTCAATCGTTCATACAAAAAGGGTTAATGCCATGAAAAATCCCAAACTGTCACACTTGTAATAATTTTACCCAAAACTAATATTTTGACAGCAAAAAAGGCCAAACTGGTACACCTGTGACAAATTTACCCTCAGTTTGTTTCCGTTAAATTTTACCAGTCAAATTGCTTTGTTAAATGACATACGACAGTTGTCTGATTTGCCAGTTTTATGTTTTACCCTCTGTTTGTCACAGGTGTACCTATTTGTGATTTTTTGTAGTATAAATCTAATTTAACAGAAATTAACGGAGGGTAAATTTGTCACAAATGTACCGCTTTAGGGTTTTTAGTTGTCAAAATATTAGTTTTTGGTAAATTTGTCACAAGTGTACCAGTTTGGGATTTTTTGTGATCAGAAAAATAGATTAGGGTAAAATGTCACAAGTGTACCAGTTTAGAGTTTTTCATTATATTAAACCAAAAAACACCTTTTTTGATATTTCTACGATGCAATAATTTATGTAAATAATACTTCGGTGATATTCTATGACAGCTCGTTACCACGATGAATCAGTTTCTTAAGACGGATCCGCACTACAAAATAACTTATACTTATCCAAGGAAGAGTTGAACACATGCCCATTTATTATCCATTTCACGGTAGATGGAGCCACAATCGGGGGAGCCTCCTCGATGAAATGGGGGGCGAGATCCTTCGTTCTGGTAACATGAATGTCTATGCACCGATATTGCACGGACATCGTTTGCCGTATTAGCATTTTCATCCATATGATTTGCAGAAGGTTTAACGTGAAATGAAAAATTATAAGGTTCAAGGACCCGGTTGACGAAAAAAAGATTATTCAAGAATCAGATTAAATAAATTATAAAAAAGTCATGAATTAATTTTACCTACCTTCATCTTGGAATCCTTTTTATTTGGTTTGTTAAGAAAAAGTACATCTAAAACATCTAATTCGACGAACGCATATCCTCCTGCCCATCGAAGTGGAGTTTTGAGATGTTGCTCGCCTCATGTGTGGTAAAGATTGGTTTATCTAGTATCTGGCATGTGGTCATTGAACTTCAGTTTAGCTCCCCCCAATGACTGAACTTTCGATTCAACTTCGATTCGTACGCTCTCAACAATTTCAATTGACTTCTCGGGAAATCATTGGCTGGTCTGTTCATATCGCAAAAAATGCGTGGATGTTAACTCGTGGAGCCAATATGGGGTTCAATTGGAGTGACATTAGACTTACAACCTTTGAGAAATAGAGAAGACAATAGGCTAAGAGAGCGGGGATGATGTGGTCTAGCGTGGGGTGACTCTCCTCGTCAGCCCATAAGCGAGGGTCCAAAGCCATTTTACGCGAGGGTGGCGCACCCTTGTCGATGTTCATCGGCTTCGAACTACCCGGATTCTACTTCGGAGAGGGCCGTCCTGGGCAACAACGGCTTGATGAGGGCGACCAAACCTTCACCTGGCTAGCGACAAGACTGGCAACTCTTGTCGAGGTTTAAGGCGGGCAAGGTACCACTGAACTGGAGGCGAGAGTCGCATGACCTTGCCATGAGCCAACATGGCCTAGGGACAAGAGGCGGAGGACAGCGGTCGGTGGCGGAGGACAGTGGTTAGCGACAAGAGGCGACCGACGGGTGGGAGCCAGCGGCGGCAGCGGGAGCTGGCTGGCAGGTGGTAGCGAAGGACGGCGAGAGGCGGGGGTGGGCGGGTTGCGGCCGACGTTAGGCGGTGGCAAACAATAGAGGACGACGGTGGGAGGAGGCAGTCGGCGGCGGCCGACGGAGGGAGGCGGCCGACGGCGGGAGGCGGCCGACGGCGGGAGGCGGCCGACGGTAGGAGGCGGCTAGCGGTGGCGGGAGGCGGCCGGCGACAATAGCGAGTGGCAAGGGGGTGGCCAGCTAATAGCGAGGACAAGCGATAAGAAGGGTTTTTATTTCTCATTTCTGTTCCAGAAATAGAAAAGTAATTTTTTTGTTACTTCTGATTTCTGTTCCAAACCTATTTCTGAAATAGAAATTTGTTCCAGAAATAAAAAAATAAAATTGCGTTACCAAACGGATTTCTATTCTAAACTTGTTACTGGGAATAGAAAAATAGAGAAACAGAAATGATTTCATGCGCGCCCTAAACGAGCGGGGATGATGTGGTCTAGCGTGTGGTGACTCTCCTCATCAGCCCAAAAGCGAGGGTCCAAAGCCATTTTAGGCAAGGGTCGCGCACCCTTAATTGTCGATGTTCATCGGCTTCGAACTACCCGGATTCTACTTCGGAGAGGGCCGTCCCGGGCAACAACGGCTTGATGAGGGCGACCAAACCTCCACCTGGCTAGCGACAAGACTAGCAACTCTTGTTGAGGTTTAAGGCGGGCATGGTACCGCTGAACCGGAGGCGAGAGTCGCATGACCTTGCCATATGAGCCAACATGGCCTAGGCGACCCTCTCCTGTGGTCATGGAGGGGTCATCGACCCCTCTCTCTCTCTTTGCGCTTTTCGTTTAGCTTTCATATATCTTTCTCAAAGTACAGGGCAAATGTGACGCCACTAGGACACCTCCCCGGCTCTAAACGACGGTCTATTTAGCATTTTTCCCGTCCTAGGCGAAACAAATCATATAGGGTTTATTTAGAAATCTAACCGAACTCGATCCAAAACAAATCGGAGTTCACCATATTTGATCACTGAAATTGAAGTGCAATGACCGTAAGGAACGGGATCTGAGTTCACTGACCCCTAAAAAAAATCTCCCGACGTCACGTCACAACTCTTGCATTCACCGTACCCTTTTGAAGCCCAGTCGCATGCGTCTGGATCATGTGGTTGTCTCTTTCGTTTCTCCCATCGGAATGAGAATCAACCCGACATGGTTTTCAAGCTTCTTCACAGCGTACATACATCCAAATCATACTCCCAGCAATGTCGAGCGAGTTCCGTTTCCCTGTTGTCATGTGCCGAGAATCTTAGGAAGCATCGGCGCACCGCCTGGGAAAGTCCACCGAAGTCGAAACTTATTAGCAGCGAAGTGGCCAAGGTCAAGGCTAAAGAACCCTTATTGTAATGGATTTGTTTAGGAAGGAAGAGAGGATTCCCGCTTTGTGTGACAACTAATCGTGAGGATCAAACTTTCATATCCTCTTATTTAAAGTTTGAACTATCGAAACCGAAAATGCACGAGACATTGAGGAATTTACTCCACATTGCTGGATAGGGTTCTTGTCCTAGAGAGAGAGAGAGAGAGAGGAAAAAATGAGCTTGGCTCCTCCGCCATTTGCCCTCCCTGCGAATCTCGCCCCCGATGAGTCGAGCCCCGGGTGGATGAGCAAAGGCGACAACGCGTGGCAGCTGACGGCAGCCACCCTAGTCGGCCTGCAGAGCGTGCCGGGGCTCATGATCCTGTACGGGGGCGGGGTGAAGAAGAAGTGGGCGGTGAACTCGGCGTTCATGGCGCTGTACGCCTTCGCCTGCGTCCTCGTCTGCTGGGTCCTGTGGGGCTACCACATGTCTTTCGGCCACCGGATGCTCCCGTTCTGGGGCAGGATCGACGTCGCGCTCGATCAGGACTTCCTGCTGGCCAAGGCGTTCTCGGGGATGCTGCCGAACGCGACGATGGTGTACTTCCAGTTCGTCTTCGCGGCGATCACGCTGATCCTCATCGCGGGGGCCTTGCTGGGGAGGATGAATTTCTACGCGTGGATGATGTTTGTGCCGCTTTGGCTAACGTTTTCCTACACGTTTGGGGCATTCAGCATATGGTACCCTAATGGATTTCTCTATCGGAAGGGGCTAATGGACTATTCGGGTGGGTATGTGATTCATTTGTCTTCAGGAGTGGCTGGTTTTACTGCGGCATATTGGGTAAGTGGAAAGCTTTACAATTTCCTCATTTCTCTTGCAAAAAGCAAGACATTCCAATAGGTCAAGATAGCTTCTTGTTATCAATCCAATTCGTCTTTTTTAATTCCCAAACTGATGTATACAAAGATCAGAGCTCAAGAGTCGCGCCATCTTTGATCGACTCATTCTTTGCACACAGGTGGGTCCTCGTCTGAGAAAGGATAGAGAGCGATTTCCTCCCAACAACATCCTGCTCATGTTGGCCGGGGCCGGGCTCCTGTGGATGGGATGGACCGGGTTCAACGGAGGCGACCCTTACGCGGTCAACATCGACGCCTCGCTCGCCGTCATCAACACCCACATCTGCACGGCCACGAGCTTGCTCACCTGGCTCGTGCTCGATCTCGTCGTCTTTAGCAAGGCCTCTGTGATTGGTGCTGTCCAAGGGATGATCACTGGCCTGGTCTGCATCACCCCGGCTGCTGGTAAATTTCACAGACCAACTTTGTATTTGGAGTGTGCGTCGTCACGAACTCGAAATGTTTAGGAAAGGGCAGATCCGAAAACACGCGAACTTCTTAGCATGATCAACCAAAACACACTCTCGAAACGACGCGACTAACACGAATTCACAACCCTTATATGACGGGTGAACACACGTCATCTGCCGGCATTGGGCAGTCGCGCCTGCATTTGCTTTGTAGCATGTTTTTCACCTAGGGAGCAATTAACTTAAACTACTTGCCTTTTAGAAATCTGCAGTATGCAATGGAAGAAACATGTACGGTATGTACACTGCCTACCGTATAGGTGATAAAACTAAATCAAACTGCATAATTTACAAGACAATAATACACATGACTTCGCCTTTGAATTCAGGTTTGGTCCAAGGTTGGGCAGCTATAATAATGGGGGTCTGCTCTGGCTCAATCCCGTGGTTCAGCATGATGGTGGTCCACAAGAAATTCGAGCTGCTCCAAAAGGTCGACGACACGATGGCCGTCTTCCACACCCACGCCGTCGCCGGGAGCCTCGGCGGGATCCTCACGGGGCTCTTCGCCGAGCCAAGGTTGAACCGCCTCTTCTTCGCCGGCAATATTGAAAAGTACATAGGGCTCTTCTACGGGTTCCGGACGGGAAGGGTCCAGGCGGGGTTCAGGCAGATCGGGGTCCAGCTGCTCGGGATCGTCTTCATCGTCACCCTCAACGTGGTGGTGACCAGCTTGATCTGCCTCGCGGTGCAGTACGTCGTGCCGCTGAGGTTGTCGGAGGAGGACATGGAGATCGGCGACGAGGCGGTCCACGGGGAAGAGGCGTATTCCCTATGGGAAGACGGCAACGACAGCTCAATCCACGCCGTGCGGGGGGAAGGATCGGCGCCTGGCAATATAGAGATGGCAGTGAGGAAAAGAAAAGGAGGGGGTCGAGCCGAGACGGTGTAGAAAAAGAGAGAGAGTCAATTTTAGTTTCGAGGATAAAGAAGAGGGATACATGAATAAGGGAAAATGCTTTGTGTGGGTGTTCCTACTTACGTGGGTGTTGATTTCTTTCTTAAGAGAAGCTCAAAATTGCTCTCATACTTGCTTCTTTACTTTCCAGCCTTGCCTTGGTGGAACCTTAGCTCTTTCTCTCATTGAACAATAACGTGTTGGCTGGAGTTTGCTCCTCCTCTCGTGATGTCGGGTTCAAGACTTGTTAGGAACACTCGAAAAGAGTAAAATTCAAGATACTTATGAGGAAAGTGCGCCCTTCGGATCGACCACTAATCGAGGTACCTGAAAGCTGACGAAACGCCATCCGAACAGCATATCTAAATAAAAAGCCTTGATGTCTATGTGTCTAGTTAACTCCACTTAAAAAAAAAAGTTTTAAGTTAAAGACAATAATTTGTCATTTTAAGGATTGAGCATCTGAGGCTATATCTTTGCGCACCACGGCTTATGCTCATCGGATGCGATAGTCTCCGTGCACATCGAGTGATTACATGAAACACACGAATAAGTATTTACTACAATAAAATTTGTTCGACGATTCGGCCATTTAAATTCTACTCACTAGTGATCCCTTCCCTAGTACCATCGGATGATATCACTGGTAACTAACACCTATTAGACTTATCAATAAATCTGACAACAAAAAAAAAGAGACCTATCAATAAAATAGGCTAAGGTTTGGAAAAGCGAATAGGGTTGTGGTCAAACCACTTGGAGGTTGTCTTAGTGGCTACCTTTCTCACTTGAAAAGGGGAGGTGGGGAGTTCGATTCCTCGTTTTCTCAGGGAGGCTGGAGGTGGAGACACGTGAGTGAGAGAGTTGGGTTTTGATACCCATGTACAGCACATAGCGCACACAGTGACTTATAAAATAGAAATATGACAGAGTCATTAAAAAAAAAAAGAATAGGGTTGTGGTCCAAACTTTGTATCATTTGGGTGGTCTCTTTACTCTTTTCTTTTTAATAGTCCTAAACCCTAGCTCATAGTATTCTCACCGATTTCCCTACGCACTGTTCCGGTTGAAATTTACCATAAGAATAAGCCAAGCCTTAAGCCATTGCTGGCCATTTGTGATTGTTCCCTTATGTAAGGATAAAAGACATTGGAATCATGTAAAAGTGCATAGCAGAATCAGATATGAAGATGGATAGGCGAAAGAGAAATGCTGAACATGAGAGATCGAAATGGAATCGGGCGTCCAATTGAGAGAAAAAAGAAAAAATCATACAAGGTTGATATATATAGATTAAATTATGAAGGGTTAACTGAGATAAGCCCACAAGTATGTGGGCAAATTCCAATTTGCCCGACAAAATTCTCCTAGAGCTAATGTACTCTCTTTTGTTCCCCGTTACGAGGTAACCATTTTAGTATTAAGGCGAAATAGAGTCGTCACAACTTGAATTTTCACCAGCGTCCATGATGGGATCGAGATCCTACCGAGTGAGATATTTAGGTGCTGCATGAAAACCATTCTGGTTCTGTCCAGAACTGATTTTTTGTTCCCAGAATCAGTTTTGGACCAGAAACCCATTTGGTAACGCAATTTCATTTTTCTATTTCCGGGACAAGTTTGCTTCCAAAACTGATTTTGAAACCAGAAATGAGAACAAAAAAAAAGTTGGTTTTTCATTTCTGGAACAAAAGTGAGAACCATTTCTGAGGAATTCATTTTCTTCAACACACATATTCATATGGAAGTCACGATCTTTGAGGTGAGAAAAAAAAAGCAAAAAATCAAAAATTTCAAAACTTAACAGAATGGTTTAGAATCATGGCTACCCACTTTCATGAAATTTAAATTTTTTAGGTACCAAAAAAATAAATAAAAATAAAAAATTTCAAAATTTCACAAAATGGCTTAGAAAACCTATGGCCACCCACTTTGAGCAAAATTTAATTTTTTTAGTTGCCAAAAAAAAAATAAAAAATTCTAAAATTTAAAAACTTCACAGAATATCTTAGAATACCTGTGGCCACCCAATTTGAGCGAAATTTTATTTTTTAAGGTGTCGAAAAAAATAAAAAAAAAAAGCAAAAAATCAAAAATTTCAAAACTTCACAGAATGGCTTAGAATACTTGTGGCCATCCACTTTGAGTGAAATTTAAATTTTTTTAGGTGCCGAAAAAAATAAAAAAAATAAAAAATTTCAAAACTTCACAGAATAGCTTAAAATACCTGTGGCCACCCACTTTGAGTGAAATTTAAATTTTTTTATATGCCAAAAAAAATAAAAATAAGCAAAAAAGTAAAAATTTCAAAACTTTACAGAATGGCTTAAAATACCTGTGGCCACCCACTTTGAGCGAAATTTTATTTTTTTAGGTGCCGAAAAAAATAAAAAAAATAAAAAAATTTCAAAACTTCACAAAATGGCTTAGAATACTTGTGGCCATCCACTTTAAGCGAAATTTAAATTTTTTTAGGTGCCAAAATAAATAAAAAAATAAAAAATAAAAAACTTCACATAATTGCTTAGAATACTTGTGGCCACCCACTTTGAGTGAAATTTAATTTTTTTTAGGTGTCGAAAAAAAAATAAAAATAAGCAAAAAAGAAAAATTTTCAAAACTTCACAGAGTGGCTTAGAATACATGTGGCCAACTACTTTGAGTGAAATTTAATTTTCTTTAGGAACCAAAAAAAATAAAAAATAAATAAAAAATACCATTTGGGCATCTAAAAAAATTAAATTTTACTCAAAGTGGGTGGCTAGAGGTATTGTAAGTCATTCTGTGAAGTTTTGAAATTTTTGATTTTTTATGTTTTTTTTCACCTAAAAAAATTTAAATTTCACTCAAAGTGGATGGCCACATGTATTCTAAGTCATTCTGTGAAATTTGAAATTTTTGATTTTTTGCTTTTTTTTCACCTCCAAAAATTAAAATTTCACTCAAAGTGGGTGGCCACAGGTATTCTAAGCCATTCTGTAAAGTTTTGAAATTTTTGAGTTTTTTTCTATTTTTTTGGGCACATTAAAAAATTTAAATTTCACTCAAAGTGGGTGGCCACATGTATTCTAAACTATTCTGTGAAGTTTTGAAATTTTTGATTTTTTGATTTTTTTTGGGCACCTAAAAAAATTTAAATTTCACTAAAAGTGAGTGGCCACAGGTATTTTAAGCAATTCTGTGAAGTTTTGAAATTTTTGATTTCTTGATTTTTTTTGAAAAAATTCAACAAATTTCCTATTTTCCCGAAATCTAAATTTTTTTATTTTCTCGACATTTTGATATTTTTTCTGGAATTTTTCAATTTTTTGGGATTTTCTGAATTTTTTTAAAGATTTTTATGAATTTTTCGAATTTTTTATTATTTTTATTCCATTTCTAAAAAAATGGATTTTTGTTCCTGGAAATAGAATTTTCTGTTGTTTATCAAACGGGTTTTTATTTCAGGAAATAGAAATTTTGTGCTGTTATCAAACGGGTTTCTGTTCTAGAAATAGAAATTTTTTGTCATTATCAAACGGGTTTTTTTTCTCAGAAACTCATCCAGGAACTAGAAATAGAAAAATCTATTTCTGGTTCAGGAACTCATTCCGGAACAGAATGGTTATCATTCGCTACCTTAGAGGAATGAGGAGCGAGGTACTTTCTAGTTTAGATGATTCGAACAAGATGAACTTGGCCAATATGGTGCAAGGTGCTTGATTTCATCAATTGTGACAACTTCATACCTCTTCTTGGCTCTCCCAGTGTTCATGCTTGGTCTATTGACCGGGATGTTAGGTAGCGAATGATAACCATTCTGTTCCGGAATGAGTTCCTGAACCAGAAATAGATTTTTCTATTTCTGGTTCCTGGATGAGTTTCTGAGAAAAAAAACCCGTTTGATAACGACCAAAAATTTCTATTTCTAGAACAGAAACCCGTTTGATAACAGCACAAAATTTCTATTTCCTGAAACAAAAATCCGTTTGATAAACAACAGAAAATTCTATTTCCAGGAACAGAAATCCATTTTTTTAGAAATGGTATTAAAATAATTAAAAAATTCAAAAAATTCATAAAAATCTCCAAAAAATTCAAAAAATCCCAAAAAATTGAAAAATTCCAGAAAAAATCATCAAAATGTCAAGAAAATAAAAAAAAATTCAGATTTCTGGATAATATGAATTTTGTTAACTTTTTTCAAAAAAAATCAAGAAATCAAAAATTTCAAAACTTCACAGAATTGCTTAGAATATCTGTAGCCACCCACTTTGAGTAAAATTTAAATTTTTTTAGGTGCCCAAAAAAATAAAAAAAATAAAAAATAAAAAAATTTTCAAAATTTCATTAAATGAATTAGAATACCTGTGGCCACCCACTTTTTGAGTAAATTTTAATTTTTTTGAGATGCCCAAAAAAATTTAAAAAAATTAAAAATTTCAAAACTTCACAAAATGGCTTAGAATACCTGTGGCCAACCATTTCAAGAGAAATTTAATTTTTTTGAGATTTCAAAAAAAATTAAAAAAAATTAGAAATTTCAAAACTTCATAGAATGGCTTATAGAATACCTGTGGTCACCCACTTTGAGCGAAATTTAAATTTTTTTAGGTGCAAAAAAAAATTAAAAAATCAACAATTTCAAAACTTCACATAATGGCTTAGAATACTTGTAGCCATTCACTTTGAGTGAAATATAAAATTTTTGAGGTGCCCAAATGGTATTTTTGATTTTTTGCTTTTCTAATTTTTATTTCGTCACCTAAAAAAACATTAAATTTCACTCAAAGTGGGTGGCCACAGGTATTTCAAGCCATTCTGTGAAGTTTTGAAATTTTTAATTTTTTAATTTTTTGATTTTTTTTTTCACCTAAAAAAATTAAAATTTTGCTTAAAGCGGATGGCCACATGTATTCTAAGATATTCTGTGAAGTTTTGAAATTTCTGATTTTTTTTAATTTTTTTGTGAAATCTCAAAAAAATTAAATTTCTCTCGAAATGGGTGGCCACAAGTATTCTAAGCCATTCTGTGAAGTTTTGAAATTTTTTATTTTTTTATTTTTTTATTTTTTTCGACACCTAAAAAATT